CTAGAACTCTCAATTAGAAAATGTACACAAGAAAAGCAGCAAAACCAAAAACAAAAATATCTACGTTCATATTTTTTCATCATGACGAGATCAGTGGTGTGGTTGGCAGAAAGAGTGAACAACATCTGGCACAGGCAGGATCCATCTGGAATGTTAGTGGACAACAGGATGGTCCAATTAGATATCAAATTTTATTTAAAAATAAACAAAAAAACTCTGAGTGCCACCCTGTCCTCCCCTAAAACCTCATTGGTCCTTCTCTCCCAAGCTCAAAACATAGAACTCTGTCCAAGGAGCTCAGAATGTCCCAAACAAGTCCCAGATTTCCGCTGTTAGAAGCTTTCCATATATGGGAAAAAGAACTGGATGTTCCTTTCCAATTATGGAACACAAAAATCTCCAAGAGTTCTGATTGTGCAATCACCTCGAGCAATAAATCTCTTTCAGCTCATAAAGTTGCTTAAACCGTGGAATTACTTTTGTTTTTGCATTCTTAGTGTTGATTGGAGGAGCAGCAAGACAGAGCGTCAATTTTTTCCGCAGAGCTCAAAATGGCCGCCCCAGCGAGCAACGCAAATAAAAACAGCACACAAATAAACAAACGCAGAATGACAAAGCAACATTCAAGCAGCATGTATGTAGGACTTCTCTCCACCTCCGCCTTACCCTTCTTTTTTTCACTGCTCTCTCTCTCTCGGAGCAAGTCCTTAAAGTTACTTGTTTCCTTGTTAGCGGGACAAAGTGTCCACCCGAGAGAGAGTACAATCTCAATGCAACTTGGTAGTGTGGTATATAAAAAATCAAATCAAATCAAAGCACAGGTTCAGAGAATTTACAAAGCAGACCTGGACCACGTTACTTTTGACCTGGATTCCATTGCTTTTATCTTGTGTGATGCCGAATGGGAATTCCTGTCGGTTGTTTGTGCTTCCACCAACAAAATTGTTTGCTTTGGGGGATGCAAAATGGTTGCAGAAGGGTAACATGTCAAGTAGAAAAAGAATTGCTGTTTGAAGTTGCTCACCCCATGATTCATCTTCTTTTTTTCTTCTTTTTGATTTGGGCAAAAAACATCAATCCAGCTCTGAAGTTACGGCGGCGAGTAAGGGATAGTCCTGTTATGTGCAGTCATAGTTAAATATTAAAGAAGGCTTATCAGTTCTACACCATAGTGCCTAATCTGCACCTGAGTTTATTCACTTTTTAGATAATTGAGGATTTGTATATATGGGCAAGATTCTGACTTAATGCAGACGGGCAACCTGAAAAACAATCTCAAGGTTCAAAGTGGAATTAAGGAAGTAAGGCTTTCTTTGAGCTTCTCTTGAACTCAGTTCCCATTTTTAGGGCTTTTTAAGTGGAATGTTAGAGCCAGAAAGCACGTTGTCCTTCCAGCATGATTTTATTCTTTCAAGATATATCTCAAAGAGTTTGAGGCTCCCTAGTTCCTCTCTTTACTGTGATTGCAGCTGCACTTTGCATTAAAATCCCCCCTCCCTCCTGGATAAAAGCTCTGCAGCTCTTAGCCTTTATGTATGTGTTTCTTTGCGATGCTAGTACTTTGAGAAGCTTATTTTACTTTATGGTGCACGAGTGGAGGTAATATGGAAACTGTTAGAGGCAGATAGGAAAGGCAATGTTGTCATAAGAAACAAATTGCCCATTTACATCACTTCAGTGTGGTTTGAGTACTGCCCCTCAACTTAGCCGTCCAGCGTATCTTCCCCATTAAAATACATTCTTCATTGATACTTGACACTAATTAGCAGTACAAGTTTAAACCACTCAAAAGTATATACTGCATCATCATACAGTTAATGGTATAGAGCTAAAGTGATGCACAACCTGCTACCCAGTGTGCAACGATCCTTTAGGGTGCATCCGAGTGCTAGTAAAGAACTTGAATTGGAAAGAACCCAAAAAAAGCTACCACTACCATACACTAAAAAGACATGGATTAAATTTGGAGGGCACCACTAAGAAGGAAATGAAAAAGACTAAAGGATCATGAAACCTGAAATGTTTAAGTCTATATATCCATCTCTCTTACCCTGCTATACAACTGAAATGGTTCACTCATTTTTTGATTAAGCACAAGCATAAATGCTAGAATATCATATTTGTTTGTCCTTTACCCTGTTTCATCCATCTCGCCTCCCATTGACAACCATCTTTAACTTTTCTACACTTCATTTCACCAAAAGTACCACCACAACTCTCTTTCTCCCTTTGTGCACTACCCACATTCTTTTTCAAATTATATTACATAGTTTTTTTTGTTTTCTTTTTTTTGTACATACTTTTTGTGTTATAGTTCTTTGTATAGTATAGAACTCTAGAACTTTTTTTGGCAGCTTCTTTCTTTCTTAAAGGAAAGTCCAAATCATCAGCTGTAGCATAACATTAAGACTTCTCCTTCTTGGCTGAAAAAAAAGGTGGAAAGGAAAAGATAACTCTAAAATGTATTCCTTCCTTTCTCAAATCTTCTCCCTTACAAATCTGCTCTCCTCCCCTACCCCCACTCATCAACCCCTCCACCCTTTTAAACTGTCGCTCCCAGGAGCTCTTCGGACTTGGCCATGATCTCATTTTGGTTGGAGTCCAATCCGTAGAACTTAACCTTCAGCCCATCGACCGGGTGGACAACGGGCACCGTGATCACGCGGGGGAAGTTCCGCGTAGCCAGCTCGAAGCGGCTGGTGCAGGCCAGCTCAATCGCCAGGATGCGAAGGAAGAGGGTGGCGAGCTGCTTTCCCAGACAGGACCTGACGCCGCCACCAAAAGGCAGATAGTGGAAGCGTCCTTCTTTGTCTTCACTCCGCTCCTGACTGAAGCGGTCAGGGTCAAAGGCATCCACATCTTTGAAGACGGCAGCAGTGTCGTGGGTGTCCCGAATGCTGTACATCACACTCCAGCCTTTGGGAATCTGGACTCCCTGGAGACAGAAGACCAGAATTCATAACAATGAAAAATAATTGTTCACTTAGCCACCATAAGCACATATGACCAATTAATTTGGATAACAATCTGATTTCTGTTGTTGTATCCCCAAGAAGTAATTGTGAACTTTTCTGCTAATATGTGTTCTTCCATATTCAAACCATCTTTTCTCTGTTCATACCAGAATACAGCAATATGAGAAGCATTTAGGGTCCTTGATCAATCCAGGAACCCATTGGAATAGAATAGAATAGAATAGAATAGAATAGAATAGAATAGAATAGAATAGAATAGAATAGAATAGCCCATTACTGTCATTGTACGTGTACAATGGAAACAGTCTGTTGATTTAACATCTGGCTGCAACACCCATTTTTTTTCAGGCGTGCAGAGTATCAGAAGATATGTGGGCTAGGACCTTCTTTTTCTATCCAGTGGTCATTGTTAATGAATGCAAATACATTAAAGAAGCAAATAAAGTCAAAATCATCATAAATAGTTTCACTGCTGAATTCATCTGTGATGGTGATCAGGACATTGGAACACTTTTTGTACCAAAATTCGTTTCCATTGCCAGTGGTTCTCTCTTCTTTAAATACAGATAGCTATTTAAAGAGGTCCATCCTTGGTAATTTTCCTCTAAACCTCCCCTTCCCTCCTTTTGTGTGATGAGACTCTTGGTACTCTTGTAATGATTCTTGTAGTGTCTGCAGGTTGTGAACCAACACCTACACCATTCATTTGAATGGTAACTCGATGGTTCTTCTAGTTGAGTTTCTGACCTTTTGGGTAGATTTGATATGACAGAACTACCACTGCACAAAAATATAACGGGAAATAAAAGCTGACATTGAGTAGCATTGATTTAAAAAAGAAAATTCATGTTAAGGCAAGCATGCTGCACAACAAGAGGTACATGAAGATGTGAAGGATGTACTGTTCTAGGGACACTTACGTCCAGTTCGAAGGTCTGCATGGCGGTTCGGTAGGCCCCAGAAACAGGAGTAAAGAGTCTCAGCACCTCCTTGATGACACAGTCCAGGTACTTCAGGCTGATAATGGTGTCGAGTCTCAGTTCTGCTTCTGGGCAGAGGCAGCCGTTGTGAAGGAGACCCCTGGATCTCAGTTCCTCCCTCAGGCGCTCAAGGACTTGCGGGTGGCGGAGGAGCTGCATGATAAGGGAGGTGCTTGCGCTGGCAGTGGTGGCAAAGGCAGCAAAGATCAGCTCAATGGTTGATTCCTGTGGGTCAGCAAACAGATACGATGGTGTATTAGT